TTGAAGGTCAGAGTGCAACTGTGATTCGATAGCCGTGTTAATGTCCGATATTCTGAGTTCAACAGTGCGGTGGGACAGTTGGACATCTGATACCATTCGTTTTAGTTTGTCGTTTTCAGGAGACAAGATTTCAACAATGTCACTGAGGCATTTTTTAACGAACTCCCCTTCATTGTATTGCTTTTTAGCCCGTGCAATGTTCCAAGCCAGTTGATACGATGCAAGCGTTACGGTCTCTGAGTGCTTCGAAATTTTTGGGAAAACTGTATCTGCTTTTCTGCCTGGCATTTCAAAGTGACCAACTTGTGCTTGCGAAGTTCAGACCCTATTGGAAATTCTTGGTTGATGTTAGCATGGAGTGAGCTGAAGTGGCGCTGAAGATTTGAAGCTTTGAAATGCGCTAATGACGCCTGACATATAAGGCAGAATGGCCAGTCTGTTAAAAACGTCCTGTGTTCATCTTCATATTTTCGTTTTGCTGTGCATTTTTTCCCTGCCATTTTGGGAGCAAACTTGACACAAATTGTTTACTCAAATGTAGGGATGTCCCGATCTGATCACGTGATCGGAAATCGGGGCCGAAGGAGGATGGAATGTTAACATTTAGCATTTATCCACACACTGTGAGTTTGCATGTTCTCCGTGCTGCGGGGTTTCCCCGGTACTCGGTTTCCTCCCCCAGTCCAAAGACTGATTGGCATGTCCTAAGTGTCCGTAGTGCATGAATGGGTGTGTGAATGTGTGTATGTGTTTGTGTGCCCTGCGATGGATTGGCTCCCTGTTCAGGGTGTACCCCGCCTTGTGCCCGATGCTCCCTGGGATAGACTCCAGGTTCCCCGTGATCCTGAAAAGGACTAAGCGGTTGAAGATGGATGGATGGACCACACACTGCTAAGTCTTGTTGTTTTTTAATACTCAACTTTAGTGATACACCAAAATCTTTGGCCAGTTAATCAGGATTTTTTCATTTCTTAACCTGTTTATTAGCATAATTTATGCAATTTTGATTTGACTTTCAGGAAAACTGAATTAGGTACGGAAAAACTGACACCATAGTGTAACTGTAAAATGTTTGCAGTGTAAATCAGTGTAGCCACCATTGTTAATCCATATTATTCATTATATTCATTCCTTATTTCTGTTCTTGCACCTGTTTTAAAATAATCAGCACAACTGACTGAACAAAACTTTTTATTTTTGTCATGAATTTGCAATCAGAAGCTTAGAGACTGTGAGGTAATGGATTTGAGTTTATGGGTGCATCTCAATCAGCTCCATATTTCAGTAGTCAGTACACTGATCAGTGTGTGGAACTTTTGAAGGGATGTCTCAATTGCGAAAATCCTACCCGTGTGCACTGGGATGTTCGCGCCCTAAAAAAATCCCACAATGCACCACACAAACCAAGGAGCATCGGTGTTCACTATTTTCCCTTACTGAAAATGACGCCATGTTTTCAGAAACCTCTTAGATCGAAAAATTTGCCTCTCAAATGATTACTTACGTTAGCGATTTTTAACTTTATTTGATGTTCTATATATTGTTTATTTGAGTCTAACGACTTTAATGATTTTTTTTAAAATCTACTAACTATAGTATACGATCCTACTTGAAGTACAATGACAGACAAATTAATATGACATACGATGTTAGAAAGATGTCCGTCCTGCATGTTGTGGTTAAGTGCCAGTGGTGATATTTTACAACGCGAGGACGTAATCATGTTACCGGAAATTGAGTCATCAGTGTTCTAATGTGTAGTGAGTCTGGGTCCTTACCTCCGAGCTCAAGTACACCATATACTGATTCACCACCTAGGGATCTAGGGGAGCTGATTGAGACGCACCCTACTGTATGTTTTGTGTAATGTGAAGCATTAATGTTGTTTTTTAATTGTGTAATGTTGAAACATTAATATATTTTATTTATTCAGGATGAAGTTGATGCCTGAGATTTGCTGCAGCGATCAGTCACCTATTAACACAGCATATATATATATATAAATATATATATATATATATATATATAAACATACACACACACAAAAAACACAAATACACACCAATAGACTACTCCTGTTGTTTTTTTTAGAAAATAAAATGTTTTTGTACATCATAAATAATTAAAGGAGATTTCATTCTGACAGCATTAATAGCACAATAAATTAAAAAAACTTATCCTTATATACAAATTTATACTGTTTTTATTTTTTAATTTTCTCTTACTGTAAGCGATAATGCTATTGTTACTGTATGTACTCGTGCCACGTTCACATCATGTGGGAGAATGGTAAAATGTCCCATTGTTCTGACTTGAGAGCATTTGTGCATTGCCATTTTGTTTACTCAATGTAGTTTTTTTTATTATTATTATCTAACATTAGATAACATTTAGCATACGATTGTGTTCATGTTAAATAAGTCAACATCTTCCTATATTTTAATAGCCCAAAAGAAGGTGGTACAATTTACTGGCTGTAATTTATAATGACATTAAATAAAACATTAAAATGAATTCCTTATTTCATTGGATGTGTGGCATGATTGTGCAGTCCATTGCCTCACTACTGGTTTGGGAAAACTCCCAAAGCTTGGAATTGCGACCCACATTAACAGCTGTCATTAAAGGTTCTCAGTAAGAAATTGGGAATTACAGTTTCTCTCATATGATGTGAATGCAGCATTAACCAGCTCTTATGTATGTCATTAATGTAAACCAATTTTTTGTATTAATAAATCTTAAATATTTTTTCTTACCTTTCTGATTTTCCTTACATTTCATATGTATCTATTGCTAAATAATACTTTATAGAGACTGTGTTTTGATCCTAATATAACTATAGAATCTCTAGAGTCAATGGAAGCATAATATTTTCAATTCAATTTTATTTGTATAGCGCTTCTTACAACAGACATTGTCTCAAAGTAGATTTACAGAAATATCAACACGGTATACAGATATTAAATGTGTGAATTTATCCCAACTGAGCAAGCCACTGAGTGGCGACTGTTTAAACAAACATGTAGGTACAGGATCTAGTATGGAAGTTGATGAATTGGCTGAAGAGATTAATGTAGCTAGTTCGGTCTCTCCAAGTGGAGCAAAATACTCTAAACATTGATCTGATATTGCTACATTGTCATGTAATGGCTTTGTTACAGTACTGTCTGGTTTTAATTTAATGGCCTGTATTTCATGTCTAATATTTTCAACCTTATCAAAGAAAAATTTCATGAAATCTTCACTGCTATGTAATGATTGAGTGTTTCTCTCTGTAGTGGTTTTATTCCTAGTGAATTTTGCTACCGTGTTGAAAAGGAATCTAGAATTGTTTTTGTTATCTCCTATCAAGGTGGAGAAATAGATTTTTCTAGCTTCACTAAGAGATTTTCTGTATTTCAGTAGACTCTCCTTCCATGCTGTTTGATATCACCAGTTTGGTTTGACGCCATTTGCGTTCTAATTGTCGAGTTTTCTGTTTAATTGTCTAATTGTCGAGTTTTCTGTTTTAAGGTTCGCATTTGATCGTTATACCAGGGTGCTAATTTTTTCTCTCTAATTATTTTTCTTTTGAGTGGAGCCACTCTATCTAGCGTGTAGCGGAGTGTTGACTCCAAGCTTTCAGTCGCCTGATCGAGTTCTATGGGATCTGACAGTGATCCAAATCTAACTGATGTTTCTGCGAGGTTATTTATGAAGCTCGGTGCAGTAGCTGATGTGTACGTACATTTAACACGGTGGCGAGGTGGAAAAATTATGATCAATATGCATTATGAGTGAGATAAGATAGATGGTCTGAGACAACTTCAGACTGTGGAAAAATTACAATATTTTCTATACTTAGTCCGTATGTTAGTATGAGGTCTAGAGTGTGACCACCATTATGAGTAGGTCCGTTTACGTTCTGATTAATCCTTACTGAATTCCAGATGGACACAACCGCTATTCTTAGAGGGTCTTCCGGGTTATCAAAATTAATATTAAAATCTCCGACGATTAATGCTTTATCTACAGACACAACCAGGTTTGAGACAAAGTCTGCAAATTCTCTAAGAAATTCAGTATATGGCCCTGGGGGTCTGTAAATAATAATTGACTTATTGTTTCTGGCTACATAGTTTACACTGGTATAAAGAATTTCAAAAGAATTCAATTTATGATAAGGATTTTGTGTGATGACTACATTTTGACTATGGATGAGACCAACACCGCCTCCTCTACCAGTTGAACGAGGCTGATGTACATAACTGTATCCAGGAGCACTGGCTTCATTTAATGCTATGTACTCGTTTGGTTTAATCCAAGATTCCGTTAAACACATTCAATTAAATTCCTGATCAGTAATGATGTTGTTAACAATAATGTCACAGCTCGTGACGGAGCGGATAAAGGAAGGAGGTAAGCGCACATAAGAACGAGTGTAGTTTATTTATAAAGAGGCAGGCAGACAAATCCAAAACGTAATCCAAATGCATATTCCAGAAAACAGGCGAAGGTCAGGCGAACGGCAAACAGGCATAAACTTGGGGCAGGGCAGATATCAATAACGTGGCACCGAAACAGGGTCGAGAAACAAACATAAACATGAGATTAGACTATGATCTGGGAGCGGATAACCCAGCATGAACTACAACTAACATGGAACGTCATACGAAGTTTAATTACCTGCACCGTGTGTAGTACCTCCCATATCATTGGCAGCCCCGGGCCTCTGGGGTGAATGTCCCAAGCAGAGCCAGGAAACCACACAGTGTTTTTGGCGAAGTAGGGAAGCGGAGCGAAATTCTCTGCGAAGCTCAGGTTACAGCACCTAGTATTCCCATTCAGTCTCCCATCCAAGTACTAACTAGGCCAAACTTGGCTTTGCTTCCGAGGTCAGATGAGATCGGCTTTGTCAGAGTGGTATGGCCGTAAGTGACAGCTGCCACCAATATGTATAGACTGATTTTAATGTGAAAATTATTTATGGTGGAATATGTTTTTACTGTTGACATACTTTTGAATTTGAAAAAAAAATGGATAGCGTGTTGGACTTCTAAGCTAAGCATTGGAGCTATTCAAAGGTTGTGGGTTCGAGTCCCACCAGAGTCCTATGCTTGTTGCTTGCTGGCTTTTTCTGTCCTTTAGAGTGTATCTGAGAAAAATTCCATGGTGATGAATCCTGTTGAATATGGCAGTTCCCTACTTTCCATCTCAGCTAGAGTGCAGTGATGGCCCCCAGTTGAAACAACCGACATCACGTTCCAAATGTTTCTAGTCATTTGGCCAAAATGTAGCTGAAGCTGTACTAAATTCAAATCTAGATACCCATGACATGGATTCATGCTGAAATTTGTGCTCACACATCCAAACCCCACACTAGCGTTCAGATCAGAAACATGTGCTGCATACCCTCAGAGCAATAGCTATCAACAGAATTTGGCTGATATGTTTGTAAAAACTATGGCTGGACATCACATAGCTAACTTTGATCTGCCATGACTTGTCTGCTGTTTGTAGATATATATCTTGACCTATGTTTGTGGTTTATCTTAGGTTGAGGATAACAGCAAGCCTCCAATCAGTGGTAGGAGCAGCATTCAGACCAAACAACATATATGCATCTGCCAAATCAACATCTGTGTAGGATGCCTATGTCTAGGTGACTTTAGATGGATCTAGGGTCTTCAAAAGAAGCTCTCTAGGAACAGGGTTGGTGACCACTGGTTTAGGCTATGTTTTTCACAATCTGCTACCTCTGAATGTGCATTGCATGGCTGGTGAAGTAAATGCCTTGCCTCTGGCAAGCAACGGAGAAATCCAGGTTTTGAATCTCTTCAGTGCCTGTTAGAAGACTCTTTTGTTTCTACATGAGCTATGCCTTTCTTATAGCCTGAGATGAAACATAGCACAAGCAAGCCAATATGGTTTCTTTGGCACACTTGATGGTGAATTCCAGGAGGGGCATTGGTGCCATTAAAAGATAGGACCTGCCAGAGTTAATTTCTTTCAGACATGTGTTGCATGTAGAATTCAAGTCCTATCAACAGAAAAAGAACTCAGATAACTGAGGTCTCAATGTTTTCTGTTTAACTACCTTGTTCGTATTTTCCTTTACAACTAGTAGACTTTTGACCATCATGTCACTTGCAAATTGTTACCAGCATAACTCTTATTCATGAGGCTAACTCTGAAGTGTTGTCTTGGTTCAAATAATGCCTTGCTTGTCACGGTATGAGAATAATTTGAATAGCATCAGCATATTTAATTAAACTTGTCTTTTCTGCACAAGGAGACCAAATGACTATCAAACAAGTTAGTTCCACTCACAAACAGAAGTGCAATCTTGGCTCTGTATGACTCGCAAGAAGCAGCTTTATTCCACCGTTGCCACTGATTCTGACACATCATCTGACACATATAATGACACAAAGGCCTCTTACAAGTGGTAAATGTGTGAAGTTACCCAAAAGAAAGTTGAACCATGGTTCTATCACATAGGCAGTTGAATCTCTAAGTTGCGCTTCAGGTATAAGTTGTCCACGCTTCACTCTCATGCACTGACGTGAGCTCTGCCATTTGAGCTTGAAAATCTCCCTTAACGTCAAGGGAAGTGGAAGCCAGTCAGGTTATGCCGTGAAAGGGCTTGTGCCTTGTCTTCTGAAGAAACTCTTGCCCAGATGTCAGACTCTAGTCGCAAAGGTCACAGCCCACCACTTGTCTCTGAGTTCCAATGTATCTTGATCAGTGCAACCATGAACAAGTATGCCTTGCACCATGATGCGCTATGGCTTAGTTGCTGTGACTTCGTGGTGCAACGGTAGCGCGTCTGACTCCAGCTCAGATGGTTGCGTGTTCAAATCACGTCGTGGTGATTGAGGATGCTCTTTTGCACACGGACTACTGATATTCTGCACAGTCTAATACGGATACTATCATATGGACTCGAATCTCTGTGATGACCATCCACATCTTTGTCAACCTCATGCTAAAAGGTGACAAAGTTCAGCTAGCAACTCTTTCACCTATGAATCATCAGTAACTTAGCAACCTGCTGTATGTTTCCTTAGTTTACAGATTGTGCTTTCTGAACAAAATTTTCAAGAAGATTGCACTTTTGTTGTTTTCACTGGTCCTCTCAGACAACTTAGAGGGTTAAACAAGCAGGTATTACAGCACCCAAACAGGGACTTGAACCCAGGACCCTCAGATTGAAAGTCTGATGCTCAACTGACTGAGCTATCTGGACTCTACGTGAGACTTCAGTTAACAATCTAAGTTGAAGGTAAGTCCTGTGGACACACTCACAAAGATATAACTGGTTTTTCTCTAACCTGTAAAATGGTGACTTCAACCAAGAGAATGTTGGACTTTGTTCCAATGAATTATGTTGTCCAGTTTCAACTTAACCCTAGTGTTTTCTGTTTAACTACCTTGTTTCGTATTTTCCTTTACAACTAGTAGCCTTTTGACCATCATGTCACTTTCAAATTGTTACCAGCATAACTCTTATTCATGAATCTCTGTTTCTTTCAGACATGTGTTGCATGTAGAATTCAAGTACTATCAACAGAAAAAAACACTTGTCCCAGCAGTGCCTACTACAAGTCTCTTCTCTTGTTACAAGAGCCATGTCTTTGGTACTGCCTGCCATGAAACATCAGCAAGCAGAGATTGTTCTGTCACATTGGATGGTGACTTCTAAGCATGATTCTATAAACAGCTTGTGCATTCAGGTCCTGCCATATTTGTTTGCTTTCACAAGTGTGTTGCATGTAGATATCAGCCGCTGTCAACAGAAATGCACCAGTTTACCAAACAGCACCTCTTCTGTAAATCCAACCTAAAGAATCTGGGGGGAAATGGAGATGCCATGCCAGGAAGCTAAATTGCCCATCAAGCAAAGGTTAAATCCATGGTTTGAATCTCTTCAGAGCCTGATACAAGAGCCTTTTGTTTCAACAAGGGCTAAGGCTTCCTTACAGCCTGAGATGAAACATCACACAAGCAATCCAAGATGGGTTCTTTGGCACACTGGAAGGTGAATTCTAGACTTGACATTGATTCTATTAAAAGCTAGTGCATCCTGCCAAAGATCCTTTCTTTGAGACTTGTGTTGCATGTAGGTTTCAATCGCTATCAAAAGAAAAGCACCTGTTTAATCAACAGGAACAGGCAAGTACTATGTCATCTTTGAATTTGGAAGAACATGAGATGAAAAACCATAGTAGCATTGGATAGTGGCGCAATGGATAGAGTGTTGGACTTCTAAACTAAGCATTGGAGCCATTCAAAGGTTGTGGGTTCGAGTCCCACAAAAGTCATATGATTGCTGGCTTTTTCTGTCTCTGAGAAAAATTCCAAATGTTTCTAGTCATTTCGCCAAAATGCAGCTGAAGCTGTACTAAATTCAAGTTTGTATAGATATCCATGACATGTATTCATGCTGAAATTTGTGCTCACACATCCAAACCCCACACTAACGTTCTGATTAGCAAAGATTAGAAACATGTGCTGCGTAGCCTCAGAGCAATAGCTATCAACAGAATTTTGTTGATATGTTTGTAAAAATAATGGCTGTAGATCAGATAGTATCTTTGATCTGCTGTGGGTTGTCTGCTGTTTGTAGATATATATCTTGACCTATGTTTGTGGTTTATCTTAGGTTGAGGATAACAGCAAGCCTCCAATCAGTGGTAGGAGCAGCATTCAGACCAAACAACATATATGCATCTGCCAAATCAGCATATGTGTAGGATGCCTATGTCTAGGTTACTTTAGATGGATCTAAGGTCTTCAAAAAAGCTCTCCAAGAACAGGGTTGGTGACCACTGGTCTAGGCTATGTTTTTCACAATCTGCTACCCCAGAATGTGCATTGTATGGCTGGTGAAGTAGATGCCTTAACAGGCCATCTAAGTGTGCATGGCATTTGAGTAACGCGTAGCTTGATTAAGAGCCAACATTCTATGCAGGTGGAAGGGGCCATAGCACTGTGGCACTGTGGCTTAGTTGAATAAAGCACCTGTCTTGTAAACCGGAGATCCTGGGTTCAAATCCCAGCAGTGTCTACTACAAGTCTTTGTTACTGCCTGCCATGAAACATCAGCAAGCAGAGATTGGTTCTGTCACATTGGATGGTGACTTCTACGCTTGATTCTATAAACAGCTTGTGCATTCAGGTCCTGTCATATTTGTTTTCTTTCACAAGTATCGTCTTCAAAGGAGTATCTCCAGGAACCGGGTTGGTGACCAATGGTCTGGTTTATCTTTTTCTGAATCTGACATGACAGAATGTGCATTTCATGGCTGGTTGAGTAGATGCCTTAATATGTAATCTATGTCCGCAAGCCATTGGCGTAAAGCTTAGCTTAAGTAAGAGTCAACAATCAGTTCAGAAAGATGGCATTTAAGACTAATGGTGCTGTGGCTTAGTTTGTTAAAGTGCCTGTCTTGTAAACAGGAGATCCTGGGTTCTATAACAGCTTGTGCATTCAGGTCCTGTCATATTTGTTTTCTTTCACAAGTATCGTCTTCAAAGGAATATCTCCAGTGTGGTAACTTGTATAATAAACAGTAAAAAACAATAAACAATAAACAATAAAATGTAATTACTATTTTGTAAGTATACAACATCCAGGAACAGGGTTGGTGACCAATGGTCTGGGTTATCTTTTTCTGAATCTGACACGACAGAATGTGCATTTCATGGCTGGTTGAGTAGATGCCTTAATATGTAATCTATGTCCGCAAGCCATTGGCGTAAAGCTTAGCTTAAGTAAGAGTCAACAATCAGTTCAGAAAGGTTGCATTTAAGACCAATGGTGCTGTGGCTTAGTTGGTTAAAGTACCTGTCTTGTAAACAGGAGATCCTTGGTTCAAATCCCAGCATTGCCTCATGCATGACTCCTTATTTCTACTGCGATGTTTTCAATCCCTTTGTTCCAGAGAAGAGAGAACACCAGCAAGCCTTGATTTGGTCTGTGTCGCATTGGGTGGTGGCTTCATGGCTTGACTCAATTAAAACCTCGTGGGTTCAGATCCTGCCACATTTGTTTGCTTTCTGACATGTTTTGCATGTAAATTTCAACTGCTATCAGCAAGAACTCTTTGTAGTTGCTTCCTAACGAATCCTGAAGAAAAGGGAGATGCAATGCACGGACGCAAAATCATCCATCAATCATAAAAGAGATACACAGTGTGAATTTCTTTAGTGCCTGATAAAAGACTCTTCTGTTTGTGCAACTGCTATGCCGTTTCTTACAGCCTGAGATGTCACACCACACAAGCAAGCCAAGATTGGTTCTGTGGGGCACTGGATGGTAAAGTCTAGCCTTGACATTGATGCGATTAAAAGCTTGTGGATTCAGGTTCGTGCTGAGGTTGCTTTCTTTCAGACAGGTGTTATGTGTAGATTTCAAGTGCTGTCAACAGGAAAACACCTGTTTAGTAAACAAGAACAGGAAAGCGCTATGCCCTCACTGAATTTGGAAGAGCATGAGATGAAACAGCTTTGCTACTTATAACCTGGGCTCTGTGGTGCAATGGAGAGCACGTTGGACTTCGAGGTTCCGCACTGGAACTACTCAAAGGTTGTTGCTTTAAGTTCCTCCAGAGTCATTTGCTTGCACATTGGTGTTGCTTGTTAGTTTTTTCGATACCACAGAGGGTATCCTGTTGAATATGGAAATTCCCTACTCTCCATCTTAGATGGAATGCTTTGTTGGCCCCCAGGTGAAAACAACGTCATAAATTTTCCCATGTTTCTACTCATTTGGCCAAAATGACACTGATGCTTTGCTAAATTTAAGTTCCTTGAAAATACCCATGCCATGGATTCCCGCCATAATTTTGTGCTCACACATCCCAACCCCAAACTAGCATTCTGCTTAGCAAAGATTAGAAACATGTGCTGTGTACCCTCAGTGCAATTGCTGTGAACAGAAATTTGGTGATATGTGTGTAACGACTATGGCTGGAGATCAGATAGTGTCTCTGCTCTGCTGGGGCTTATCTGCTGTTTGTGGAAATATATCTTGAACTATGTTTGTGGTTTATCATAGGTTGAGTATCCTAGCATGTCTCAAATCAGCGGTAGGAGCAGCATTCTGGCACAAACAACATGTATGCATATGCCAGATCAGCATCTGTGTAGGATGCTTATGTCTAGAATGGTGCTATGGTCTTCAAAGGAGTATTTCCAGGAATAGGGTTGGTGCCCAATGGACTCTGTTATCATTTTCTCAATCTGACACAGCAGAATGTGCATTTCATGGCTGGTTGAGCAGATGCCTTAATATGTCATCTATGTCCGCAAGCCATTAGCGTAAAGCTTAGCACGAGTAACAGTCAACAATCAGTTTAGAAAGATGGCATTTATGACCAGTGGTTCTGTGGCTTAGTTGGTTAAAGTGCCTGTCTAGTTAACAGGAGATCCTAGGACCAAATCCCAGCAATACCTGATACATGACTACAGCGATGTTTTCAATCCCTTTGTTCCAGAGAAGAGAGAATACCAGCAAGACTTGATTTGGTATGTGTCGCATTGGGTGGTGGCTTCATGGCTTGATTCAATTAAAACCTCTTGGGTTCCGATCCTGCAATATTTGTTTGCTTTCAGATGTGTTTTGCATGTAAATTTCAACTGCTATCAACAAGAACTCTTTTGTAGGTGTTTCCTAACGAATCCTGGAGAAAAGTGAGATACAATACAGGGACGCAAAATTGCCCATCAGTCATAGAAGAGATCCAGAGTGTGAATTTCTTCAGTCCCTGATAAAAGACTCTTCTGTTTGTGCAACTGCTATTCCTTTCTTACAGCCTGAGATGACACAGCACACAAGCAACCCATGATTGGTTCGGCGGGCCTCTGGATGGTAAAGTCTAGCCTTGACATTGATGCGATTAAAAGCTTGTGGATTCAGGTTCGTGCTAAGGTTGCTTTCTTTCAGACATGTGTTACGTTTAGATTTCAAGTGCTGTCAACAGGAAAACACCTGTTTAGTAAACAACAACAGGAAAGCGCTATGCCCACACTGAATTTGGAAGAGCATGAGATGAAACAGCTTTGCTACTTATAACCTGGGCTCTGTGGTGCAATGGAGAGCACGTTGGACTTCGAGGTTCTGCATTGGAACTACTCAAAGGTTGTTGCTTTAAGTTCCTCCAGAGTCATTTGCTTTCACCTGGGTGTTGCTTGTTAGTTTTTTCGATACCACAGATGGTATCCTGTTGAATATGGAAATTCCCTACTCTCCATCTTAGATGGAATGCTTTGTTGGCCCCAGGTGAAAACAACGTCATCAATTTTCCCATGTTTCTACTCATTTGGCCAAAATGACACTGAAGCTGTGCTAAATTTAAGTTCCTTGAAAATACCCATGCCATGGATTCCCGCCATAATTTTGTGCTCACACATCCCAACCCCAAACTAGCATTCTGCTTAGCAAAGATTAGAAACATGTGCTGTGTACCCTCAGTGCAATTGCTGTGAACAGAAATTTGGTGATATGTGTGTAACGACTATGGCTGGAGATCAGATACTGTCTCTGATCTGCTGGGGCTTGTCTGCTGTTTGTGGAAATATATCTTGAACTATGTTTGTGTTTTATCATAGGCTGAGTATCCTAGCATGTCTCGAATCAGCTGTAGGAGTAGCATTCTGGCACAAACAACATGTATGCATATGCCAGATCAGCATCTGTGTAGGATGCCTGTGTCTAGAATACTTTAGCTGGTGCTATTGTCTTCAAAGGAGTATCTCCAGGAACAGGGTTGGTGAACAATGGTCTGGGTTATCTTTATCTGAATCTGACACGACAGAATGTGCATTTCATGGCTGGTTGAGTAGATGCCTTAATATGTAATCTATGTCCGCAAGTCATTGGCGTAAACCACAGCTTGAGTAAAAGTCAACAATGATTTCAGAAAGATAGCGTTTAAGCCCATCAGTGCTGTGGCTTAGTTGGTTAAAGCACCTGCCTAATAAACAGGAGATCCTGGGTTCAAATCCTATGCATGCCTGATGCATGTCACTTTATTTCTAGTGCAATGTCTTCAATCCCTTCGTTCCAGAGAAGAGAAAACACCAACACGCCTGAATTTGGTCTGTGTCACATTGGGTGGTGGCTTGATTCAATTAACACCTCTTGGGTTCAGATCCTGCTATATTTGTTTGTTTTCAGACGTGTTTTGCATGTAAATTTCAATTGCTATCAACAAGAACTCCTTAGTAGTTGCTTCAAAACGAATCCTGGCGAAAAGTGAGATACAATGCAGGACGCAAAATTGCCCATCAAGCATAGAAGAGATCCAGAGTGCGAATTTCTTCAATGCCTGATAAAAAAAGTCTTCTGTTTGTGCAACTGCTATGCCTTTCTTACAGCCTGAGATGACACACCACAGAAGCAAGCAAAGATTGGTTCTGCGGGGCTCTGGATGGTAAAGTCTAGCCTTGACATTGGTGCGATTCAATGCTTGTGGGTTAAGGTTCGTGCTAAGGTTGCTTTCTTTCAGACATGTGTTATGTGTAAATTTCAAGTGCTGTCAACATGAAAACACATGTTTAGTGAACAGGAAAGCGCTATGCCCTCACTGAATTTGGAAGAGCATGAGATGAAAAACATATGCTACTTATAACCTGGGCTCTGTGGTGCGATGGAGTAAGACTTCGAGGTTCCTCCCTGGAACTACTCAAAGGTTCTTTAAGTTCCTCCAGAGTCATTTGCTTGCACATGGGTGTTGCTTGTTAGTTTTAGTAGAGGGTATCCTGTTGAATATGGAATTTCCCTACTCTCCATCTTAGATGGAACGCTTTGTTGGCCCCAGGTGAAAACAACGTCATCAAGTTCCCCATGTTTCTACTCATTGGTCTTCAAAGGAGTATCTCCAGGAATAGGGTTGGTGACCAATGGTCTGGGTTATCTTTTTTGAATCTGACACGACAGAATGTGCATTTCGTGTCTGGTTGAGCAGATGCCTTCATATGTCTTCTAGGTCTGCTTGCCGTTGGCATACAGCTTAGCTTGATTAAGAGTCAACAATCAGTTTAACATTACTGAACTTGAACACTATGGTGCTGTGGCTTAGTTGGTTAAAGTGCCTGTCTAGTAAACAGGAGATCCTGGGTTCAAATCCCAGCAGTGCCTGATGTAGGAGCACAATTTTCTTTCAAGACCAATGCCTTCCATCCCTTTGTTACAGATAGGGGTAAACACCAGCAGGTGCAGATTGGTGAGTGCTATGCCCTAACTCAATTTGGAATTTGGAAGAATCTGAGATGAAAAATGTTATTAACTGGGCTCTGTGGTGCCCAATTTTTTGTTTTTTTTTTTTTTTTTTTTTTTTTTTTTTTTTTTTGTGTGGTTGTGTGGTTTTTTTGTTGTGGGGTGTGTTTTTTTTTTTTTTTTTTTTTTGTTTTTTTTTTTTTTTTTTTTTTTTTTTTTTTTTTTTTTTGTTGGGTGGTTTTTTTTTTTTGTTTTTTTTTTTTTTTTTTTTTTTTTTTTTTGGAAAAAAATGTTGTTATTAAATATAAAAAAAACAAACACATGGGTTGTTTTTTTTTTTTTTTTTTTCCCATCCAAACCCCAAACTAGCATTCTTCTTACTTAAGATTATCAACATGTGCTGAGTACCCTCAGAGCAATTCTGTCAACAGAATGTTGCTGATATGTTTGTAAAGACTATGGCTGGAGATCAGATAGTATTTTCTCTTTGGTAAGTCGCTTTGCTTAAAAGCGTCTGCTTAATGAATAAATGTAAATGTAATATTTGATCTGCCGTGGCTTGTGTGCTGTTTGTGGATAAATATCTTGACCTATGTTTGTTGTTTATCAGAGGTTGACGATCCTCGCATTCCTCAAACCTGCGGTAGGAGCAGCATTTTGTCACAAGCAACATATCTGCATATGCCAGATCAGCATCTGTGTAGGATGCCTATGTCTAGGCTACTTTAGATTGAGCTAAGGTCTTCAAAGCAGGATCTCCTAGAACAGTGTTGGTGAAAATACCCATGACATGGGTTCATGCCATAATTTCATGCCATAATTTGTGCTCACACATCCAAACCCCAAACAAACTAGCATTCTTCTTGCCCAAGATTACCAACATGTGCTGAGTACCCTCAGAGCAGTTATGTCAACAGAATGTTGCTGATATGTTTGTAAAGACTATGGCTGGAGATCAGATAGTACTTTGCTTGTATTTTCTCTTTGGTAAGTCGCTTTGCATAAAAGCCTCTGCTTAATGAATAAACGAACATGTAATATTTGATCTGCTTTGGCTTGTTTGTGGATAAATATCTTGACCTATGTTTGTTGTTTATCAGAGGTTGAGGATCCTAGCATTCCTCAAACCTGCGGTAGGAGCAGCATTTTGTCACAAGCAACATACCTGCATATGCCAGATCAGCATCTGTGTAGGATGCCTATGTCTAGACTACTTTAGATAGATCTAGGGTTTTCAAAAGAAGCTCTCCAGGAACAGGGTTGGTGACCACTGGTCTAGGCTATGTTTTTCAAAATCTGCTACCCCAGAATGTACATTGCATGGCTGGTGAAGTAGATGCCTTAACAGGCTATCTAAGCGTGCATGGCATTTGAGTAACGCGTAGCTTGGTTAAGAGCCAACATTCTATGCGGGTGGAAGGGGCCATAGCGCTGTGGCACTGTGGCTTAGTTGAATAAAGCACCTAGACTCAGCACCTCAACTAGTTACACTACGGGAACTTTTCAGTAATTGCAACCTTTAGAATCTGGGTGGAAATGGAGATACCATGCCAGGATGCTAAATGGGCTGTCAAGCAAAGGAGAAATCCAGGGTTTGAATCTCTTCAGTGCCTGTTAGAAGACTCTTTTGTTTCTACATGAGCTATGCCTTTCTTATAGCCTGAGATGAAACATAGGACAAGCAAGCCAATATGGGTTCTGTGGCACACTTGATGGTGAATTCCAGGAGGGGCATTGGTGCCATTAAAAGATAGGACCTGCCAGAGTTAATTTCTTTCAGACATGTGTTGCATGTAGAATTCAAGTCCTATCAACAGAAAAAAAACACTTGTTTTAACAAACAAGAAAAGGAAAGCACTATAACAAAGAGAAGGTTGGACTTTGGTCCTATCTATTATGTTGTCCAGTTTCAACTTAACCCTAGTGTTTTCTGTTTAACTACCTTGTTCGTATTTTCCTTTACAACTAGTAGCCTTTTGACCATCATGTCACTTGCAAATTGTTACCAGCATAACTCTTATTCATGAGGCTATCTTGGCTCTGTATGACTCGCAAGAAGCAGCTTTATTCCACCGTTGCCACTGATTCTGACACATCATCTGACACATATAATGACACAAAGGCCTCGTACAAGTGGTAAATGTGTGAAGTTACCCAAAAGAAAGTTGAACCATGGTTCTATCACATAGGCAGTTGAGTCTCTAAGTTGTGCTTCAGGTATAAGTTGTCCACGCTT